AATGCAATCCTGCCACACTGTTTATTCTGCTCTGCTGTAAGAGTCGTGAGGTCGAATCCAACCCCGCCGCACGGGATAATTGATGGAAAGCGCCCACTCCAAAACCGTTTCGGTTTTACCCAAGAGCCAGCTCAGTGGGTACACCATTGAACTGTCGAAATACAGACCCGTGTTCGAATCCAAATGATGCTGGAACTTCATGAGTAAAACCAAATATTTCCGAATTGCCTAGGGCCGGTCAGCTCAACGATGACATCTCAAGACCCTCACCCTGAAGTTTGGCTGTTTGGTACTACATGCCCAAACCTTTCCATGTGGGGTACTACTGGCCCAGGCGTGGCTCCAAGTGCCTGCCTGATCATGAATCCGGTCCGTAAAGAGCACCAGATTCATTCCAGGCCTCCAGGCCGAGGGTGGTACGCCGAATGGATAGAAAGAGGCCCAAGTACCGTATCTTGAAAAACAGTGGCCCTACGGGTTCATGAATCTGGCACAGAAATGGCAATAGATTCATTGTCCTGTTACAACAGGCCAACGGATCTCTGGCCACGGGCCTGTCACCCAGGGGAAAGTTGTTTGGGCCTTTTTTTTTTTTTTTTTTTTTTTTAATTAACCACAGGCCCTGGTTGCTAGTGATGATGATAAGAGCATCCACCACTAGCAACCCAGCCTGTCTCCATTCTATTGGTGGGGAGCTGCCTCTGTTGGAAACCTGGTCCAGCGTCCCTCATATACAATATACTGAAACATGGTTCAAGGAGAGATGTGTTAAAAAGGAGAGCTGCCTCTTCGGCCAGAATCTGACCGCCAGATACCTATTTAAATGCTAGCAGCGCCCACTCCTGTCTAATCTCAAAAACCCATTCATCCCATCCTACCTAATCCGAACACAAATATTTGTGGCCGAAGTTCGGGCGCCCGAACCAAAAAGGTCTCGGCGTGGGTGCTTTCCGCGAATTATCCCCCACGGCACTGTTTATTCTGCTCTTCAGTGAGAATCGAATCCAACCCCGCCACAATGTTTGTTCTGTTCTTCAGTAAGGGTGGTGAACTCGCAGCACCGTTTGAGTCCAACCATACCGCACTGTTTATTCTCCTCTTCAGTGACGGCGGTGAGCTCGCTGCACCGTTTATTCTGCTCTTCGGTGAGCGTGGTGAGCTCACTGCACCGTTTATCCTGCTAGAGAATGGTGTTATTCTGCGCTTCGGTAAGAGTCCCCAGGTTGCACTGTTTATTCTGCTTTCCGGCACGTGTCGTGAGCTCGAATCCCGCAGATGGGTGAACTGTTTATTCCGCTCTTCGGCTGGAGTCGTGAGCTGGAACCCCACAGCGGGTCTATTCCTTCTCGGCCTGTTCAAATACAAGTACATAGGGCCCGCTTTGTGTGCCGCAGGTGTAGCCGTGGTGGGTCCACTTGTTCCTTTATAATCAATCAATCAATCAATCAACAATCAATATAAAAACAAAATCAATAAACCAATCTCTCTCTCTCTCTCTCTCTCTCTCTCTCTCTCTCTCTCTCTCTCTCTCTCTCTCTCTCACACAC